ATGCCTCCATTTTATGTCCAAGTCTGTTAAGTTACATTTAGTTAAATTACAAAAATACTAATGGTGCTGTTGTCTAACAAGGCCTCCCATTGCTGTGGAAACAAACCAGGAAAGACCTTGCTTGAAGTCCATTTTACTACTCCAATAGCTCAGTTATCTCATCTACCTGGAGAGACACAGTTGAATGGCAGTTAGGTTTCACCAGTGTGCAGTGGGAACATAAGTTAAGGGTTGGAAGGCAATGCAGCATGAAACAATCTCTAAACATGGCCTGCATGGCCTGGAAGGAACATACACAGGGCACGTAGTTGCTATCCATACACTTTAAAATGGTCTCCTGGGGCTGTGATGAATAAAGGCATAAGAGAAGATGTGCAGTTGACTTTAAAGCCAAGTGCTACTACACTCTCAATGCTTTGTTAGCTGGGAAAGGATTGAAAGAAGACATTTAACTATACATTCAATTCTGTCCTACATCCTGGGTAGTGAGCATGTTGTTAGTGGTCATATGTAGACACCGTTCTCATCTTTGTGACCTAAGAAATGAGGTGAGGTGAGCCAGGTAGAATTCACACGTGGGAAAAATATTTGCTGTTGTAGAGACAAGTGTGTTGTCCTAGGAATAAGAACTGGAGCCTTAGAACACTCCTCAACTCATTCCACACAGGCATCCACTGACTTCACCCAGGCATCAGGCCAGCACTGGCTGAAGAGAGGACCAAGCCATTCAATGTGTCTATTTTCAGGGCATTTAATTTAAATATTGTCTGTCCGTATGAAGTAAGAAAGAAATCAAGGCAACCATGCAAAAAATATAAAGAGGAAAGGCTTAGTTTCAAATAAATACAGATTCACTTTTTATAAAGAGTAAAAAAGACATCTTTTATAAAGATATGTTCATTTGTTAGTGAAGGGCTAACATATGTTTCAAGGAAAAATGATAAAAATAAACAAACATTACTGCAATCTTAGAGTAGGATGCACATATCCATGCTATGCCATTTGATCACAGCAGTAGGGATGGAGCTTGTCATGACATGTGGCTGGCCCAGATTCCCATGACCATTAAGTGATAAAGCCCAGCTGCACAATATAAGGCCATGATTCAAAATATGTGGAAATACCCAGAAATTTAAAATATCGCTAACAGCTCTGTGTTGAAACTCCTCTATAAATAGTTCCCTGGCTATTTCTTGACATGTTATAATACAAGCCATTCAGCAATATGATACAGATAAATATTTCCTTTTCAAAACATTGCACAAATACATGATTTCCTCCCTCTTTCCACCCTGTGGGAGAAATAGGAAAACAGCAAAGTAATAGGAATTTAGCTCCAAGCAATAGAAACCCTCCTGTCCTTTCAGTGATGACTAAAGAGAGTCCCTGGTTACCAGGGAAACCATAATAGACTCCACTGGATTCAAGTACAAAACTTGGGTTGCCTGGCTAGTGAATGCCAAGAAAAGCAAAGGAAAATATTATCATTGTTGAAATCATTTGATGTCCCTGACTAATACAGACACATTGGCATATTGAATTTTTCAAACTGCCCAAAGGGATCCGTGAAAGCTATGAATTAGTAACACACAGAAGTTCTGTCTGGAGACAGAGAAAGAAAAATAAAACAAAACAAAACAACAAGGATGTTAAACTATTCTAAGGACTACTTAAATAACCAAAACTTTCCCATAGAAACTTTATGCAACCAATCTAGGGTTTTTTGCTCAAATTTTAACATAGATTTAACTTCCCCTAACCTTTTTCCTGCAGCTAAATGACAAAAGGAATGTTTTGTGTCGCATCATCTTCAGACTGTTAAAGAAGCATGGACCTTCTTATCCAATTTCTCCCCAATAACCAGAATCATCTTTAAAATGTCCCTGATGATTCCAAAAGCCCCCAGGTTGGGCCCTTTGTACCTTCACTGTGCCCTTTCTGTGAGTGGGAGGGGCCAGAGATGGAAAGAACGTGAGGGGTGAGCCAAACTGTGAATTACCTCTTGACCCAGCTTCCAGAGTTAGCAGGGCCTGCCCAGAGATGTTCCTCCTGTCTCTGCTTGATCATTCCCAGAGCGGCAGGTCCTCGCCAGGACCCATCCTATCTTATTATGGATGCAGCTCTGATTGTTGGGGAGTGTTTTCTCATGTCCTGCCAAAACCTGCCTCCTCATGTTTTCTCCCCATTGTTCTTCATGGTATCTCTAGAACAGCTTGGTTTGACTCAACTTCCTCTCCCCTTGAATAGTCCCTTAGATAGCCGAAGTCAACTGTCATGACTGCCCTTGGATACTGTTTTCTCCAAACAAAACAGCCTCACTTTCCCTATTAGGTCATAAGGCAAGCTGACAAATGTTATAATAATAAGAAAAGGTTAACACACGACTACCTCAAGAGAAGAACAATATAGTCTTGAAGTTATACAGTTTTTTTAAAGTAAAATATCTTAAAGGAATAGTTGAGGGGTTGGGAGCACAGCTTAGAGGTGGATACATTCTTAGTGTATGCAAGGATCTGAATTCTCAAACACTAAGAAATAAAAAACCAAACTGAAAGGGGGAAAGGTTAAAAGTGGGTATTGAGATACACTATGTCTACACCTTGGGTTCAGATTACAATTATCACATCAGCTCATGGCTACCGTCCACCAGCTCTCACAGGTTGCCTTTACTTATTATTTTGTTTTCCTATTATCAATGCTTACTTTAAGAAAAGCTTCTAGAAAAAGACTTCTCTTCAAACAATTTCAACATGGTTTAAGAAAGTGAATCCAGACTATTAAGAATGACCAGTATTTACACATCTATAAGGAAGTAAGATCTCAAGTTTGAAGCCATCCTGGGAAATACAGTAAAACCTTGTCTCAAAAGAGAAAAGTTAAAAAAAAAAAAAAAAAGAATCATAAGCAAAGTAAATTCTTAATTCATCCTCAATATTTTTGTAAACCCCAAACATACAGTGATACTGGAGCTGTGCCATAGTGAACAAATACATAACAGGAGGGCCCTAGGTTTCTCACGCTGCCCCTCAGTGTGTCTCGTGTCTGTTTGTCTACCAGTTCCTCACTCAGTGAGCTGTTCTGTGCATGTGGGTGTGACTGGCCCCATCAGTACATCTAGGCTCGATGCTTTGCCGCACACTTCAGTATTAGTTCTTCCTTCTGCTTTTAGTTCATTCCCAGTCTTGTCCCCTCTTGTTGTACATCTCGTCGTTATCCCCACTTCTTCACTGTTCATGTCCATATTCTTCTGTCTCCAAAGTTCTAAGTCGTAACAGGCATGGAGAAAATCCGAGTGTGGAATACCCTTGAGAAAGCAACAGGAAAAAGGAGCGGGATCCCGGGGCCTCCCAGATGCCGTTGTTGCCAGTCTGGGTTGGACAAGGTCTTTAAGAACAAACTGGCCCAAGCTAGCTCCTGTGAGGAGATGTGGGTCTGCCTGACAATTTAACAACTGACTGTGAGCATGTCTCCTGACACACTCCCTGTTCAGCTCAGTCTCTTCTGGAAGTAATCTATTTCCCAAGGTGAATCATCAATGGTTTTAGTGACTAGACACTCAGAAGGAGGGGAGAAACTACAGGGGTTTCCTGGTTTTGATTTCTGTAGCCAGACAACCCAAGGCAATTCCTGATAATCAGGGGATGTGTCATAATGAAATGAGGAAGGCTGCTGAGAAGTCGGGGTACCTGGACTATGGAGTGCCAAGGGAAAACGCTCTCTGATTCCCTGGAGAAAGGCTCCTTTGCTACCATTCCTTTGAATTGTTCTTTTGCTTTTAGCCATCTTGATATCATTAATTAAAATTTTATGATGTTCTTATCATCCAGTCTTGTCTGAAAGACAGTCTATCTCTGTTTTTAATTCACAAGTGATAACCCTCTATAGCACACCCCAGCTTTGATCTCTGATATATAGCTGATATATATATATATTGCTACTCCTCCCTTCACTTCCCAGGGATTGCTGGGGTTACAGGCATGGGCAACCTTGCCAGGCTTGACAATCTGCTTCTGATTTTGTTTTCCCACTTAACTTCATCCTTTGTCTTGTTGCCCATCTTTAGAACCTGAAATGTGTGTCCTTCTAGCTCTATGTTTGAATAGCTGATTTCGCTGGCTTTTTTACACCAAGAGACCGACTCCCTGGAGCCTGAGCGCACACCCTTCAGAGGCCATAGATGAGTAGGCTCTTTCCTAGTTGACCATTCATTTCCCTATCTCAGGATTTGTGTCCAACAAGCACTGTTTTTTGTTCATTCTCTGGGCTTCTTAATTATCAGCCACAGAGATTTGGCAAGGTAAGCTCTCCAGTGGGAAGGCAGCTACCCAAGAGCAACACGAATGTGCGAAAGCAGCACTTGTTCTAACAAACTGGCTCCGACTCTGCAGATCAGTCCAGTTCTGATGAATCAAATCCACTTTGAAATCCATAAAGGCTCAGTGTGAACCCTTCCGTTATGTAAATACTCCCCGGTAGAGTTCCCAGGAAGGTTTAGACCTGACCGTGTTCCCTTTACAGACACCAAAATAAGTATCTGCAAACACCTACATTTCTGTACTTCTGGGTAGTAATATGTACTCCAGAGTTCATTTGAATGCAGAGAAACTTCAAATGTCAGGTGAGACAGGACTGCTGAAATCAAGGCTCTGGTTGTCTCTCATGAATCTGCTTACAGGTTGCGGTAGAAACCTGACACTTGGAGGCATTAGCATCTTGCTGGTAAATGCTAAAAGACAAATAGATTTTTTTTTTCTAATTGCCTCTATTCAAAGTGTCCAAACCACAGGTTTTAGATCTAGATGAACCAACCCCCACCACCCCACCCCCACCCCTGCCCAAGAAAGTAAAAAGCTGATGATGGAGAGAATGAGCTTAGATGAATGGAGTATTTCCCCTAAACAGTGCTTCAGAAGCAATGCTTGTCCAGACACCACTAATCCCTTTGCTTCCTTTGATGCATCTACAGTCTCCAGTGACAGGAAATTCTTATTTCTTTTAAGAAACTAAAGCACAAAAAGACAGTGAAAAAGCTACAAACTGATTTGGCAATAGCTAAGCAAGAGGCGGCCATTACTGTCCTGGAACTCAATGAGAAGATAAAGACACTCTGTGAAGGAAGGTCTTTCTCTAGAGGTCAGTATTACCACGTGACAGGTGCACATTGGGCTCTCATTCTGGGTGATGCATGTGGATTGATCGGCAGCGAAAACACAATGCCAGGTGCTGTACCTGACAGCATTCTGGCCTAGCTGCTGGCCTGGCCCAGCTCGGTTAGACAACACGTGAGTTGAGGCAGCACAGGTCTGGGAACTTCAGGGTGGATTTGCTTTGACCTTCTGACAGAGGGGGGAACATCTCTCTATGTGTTGAGCTGGGCTGAGAGGCACCTGAGAAATGTCCCTTGCTGAGCTGGGTGACAGAGACAGAAGCACAGAGCAGGAGGAGGACAGGGCACTTTAAAGTCTGAGGCTTTCGAGGGGGCTTGGAGTGCCAGGCAAAGACAGGCACAAGGAAAGCAGAAATAAATTCTCCCTTGCCAGTGGATGAATGAAGCAGGAAGCAACAGGGAATGGGACTTGGGAATGAAATCTGGGTAATTCAGACCAACCGTAATGGCTATATAGATGCGTGGGCATGTGTATGTACAGGTGCCTGCGATGACCAAAGGTTAATAACAAGAGCTTTTCTCTATTTCTTCCCTCCTTAATGTGTTTTAAGGGTGTGGGATGTTTCATGAATTTGCATATCGTCCTTGGGCAGGGACCATGCTAAGCTTCTTCGAAGGTTCCAGAGTTAGTGTGCATGCTTCTGAAGTGAGTATGACTAGGGTATTCTGATAGGTCAAAATGTAAATTGATATTTAAGGGGAGGAAAGAAAAAAGTAACTCCCTTAGCTAATACACTGATTAAAATACATTAAAATAAATAAATAAAAAATTTGCAGCCCTTGTAAAAGTTGCTTGTGTTATTGGTGAGGAAACTGAATCACTGGATGGTCACGAATTCTTTTAACTTTTTTTAGATTTATTTATTGTATTTATGTACATGTGTATGAGCCTGTATGAATGTATGTGCTACACACCTGCAGATGCCTGATCCCCTGGTGCTAGAGTTCTAGGCTGTTGTGAACTGCCATGTAGGTGCCGGGAATTGAACCTGATCAAACCCAGATCTGCTGCAATACCAGTAAGTGTTCTTTACCTCTGAGCCACCTCTCCACCCCTTCTTAAGTCAATATTTTCACATTCTAACTCAACAGACAGTCTCTACTGTGAAGCCTTACCCTGAACTCAACAGTCTAAGATTTTTCGAGTTCATTGTGGTCCCAGACTAATATTACTTGGCATTTTCAGACACCTGGTCACCTTGCCATGCCTCTTAATCTCTTCAAAATTGTGAATTGTGTGAAAAGATATCCAGGAACTTCTAATGCACAATGGCTTATATATGAAAGACCAATTCTCTCTCTCTCTCTCTCTCTCACACACACACACACTTTTACACTACTACGTCTTCCCAAGTTTTCTTGGGTCTTTTTGTAAAATGTTTGTTTGGGGTTCTTAGAGAAAATGGCAGATGCCTCAGGTTCAAGAGCTTAAGGAGAAAGGATGATTTGTGATTCTTGGAAACAAATCAAGAAAGAGGATAATATTAGCTAATGAAGTGGAATCTTAGGTACCCTTGGGGCAACTCTTCATCATCCACCTCTGCTGCTTTCTGCACTGAGACTCCTCTGTCTTAAGTTAGATGTCTGTGTAGAGGATAAAAGCAGCAACAATCTGCACTTATCACCTCTAATAAAAAGAAAGCAAACATTTCCCTAGCCATTGTAGTTAGAAAAACATCTGAGAAGAGGCTATCTTGCTTGAGTTAGGTACCCATCCCTGGATATCCCTGTGTGGCCTGGGCTGGGAGATGATGGATGAATAGGCTTACATCATGCACCCTCCACTGGGAGACAAGGTAGAGGGGAAATAAAGTGGGGGAAAGAAAGAGTCCTCTGCCTGGCAGCTGCCACTGGAAAGCTTAAAACTGGACAAAGGAAGGGGTATCCCATTACAGGAATGGAGAAAGACAGCCCAATATCAATACCCTGTCTGCTATGGTCAAGTTAAAATATAATGAAATACCTAATGAGTCATTGATCCCAGGGATATTTACACTTGAAAAGTAGATTTCTTATGGTCCAAGAAACAACTATGGTTTAGACTCCATAACAGATGTAGTAAACAGTTTGAGGAAAGATGTGCCAGCGTCTGTCAGTGATGGGGTGACCACCCACAACAATGGCCTGCTTATGGTAACAATTCCCACTGAGGGAAGGGAAAGTGTTGATTGTAAGTAGCAGGTCATGTCACTGGATTACCATGACACTACTTCTCTGTTAGAGACAACCCGATGGTTACAAGCCTAACAGATTAATGGAATATTTCCAAATAAAACAGACATCTCTGCTACCCAAACATGCCATTTTTTCCCCTTTGTTTGCTTTGTTTTCTAAGCAATCAGTCACCTTTCAGACCTTCTGATCAGAGAATGTTCCAGAACATACTTATGTTCAAATTTAGGAACAGTGAGATGCCAAACTATTTTCCTTCTTATACATGAGTTCGGCTGAGAATAAAAACACTCTTGTTAAAACCAAACAAAAACAAGAAACCTAGCACAGCAGGAGTCTCACAGCCCTAGTGTTTGATGGTTTTATTTCGTGCATGTAGTCACAACCCAAAGCAGATTGCTTCTGCCATTTCCAGAGTCCACCCCAGAAGTGCTTTGTTGACTGCCAGGGCTACTGGATTCCTGGTGTGCTGGGGTTTTCACAATCTGAGGGAGCCTACTTTTTAAATCACAGTAAGGAGGAATGGACCACTCTTCTCCCTCTTTACTTTAGTGAGATAGACTTACTCAGTTGGGGAAGGGACTTAATGCACTGAAAATAACTGGAAGGACAACTTAGGTAGGGAAAGCTTTGGTTTAGCTCTTGGTTTCTGAAAGCTCAGCCCATTTGGCTCCTTGGTTTCTGGGTTGTGGTGAGAACATCATGGTGACAGAATCTTGTTTCAAGTCTGTTCACTGGATGGAGGGCTGGAGGCAAAGTAAAGAGGGGAATAGCCTGGCCAAGGCTGCCTTCAAAGTCATTCCCAGTGACCTATTTTTTCAACCAGGCCCCCTCCTACTGTTTCTATCCCCCTCCAACAGTCTGTTCCAACTGGACTGCATCCATTGGTAAGCCATTCATTCAGTGAGCACAAAATGCCCACAGGTGTGTACCTTACCCATTTTCACCCAAGTTACTTTATAAATATTTTCCCCACCCAGTCCTGTTGCTGATTGAGTTACTTGGTAGCATATAAAGTCTAATCAGAATCTCTTTAACCAGAATATGTATTTCATGCTTGCTTCCTTAGAAGGATATATATTCCTTAGATTTTGCTGTCTTTGAAAATTTTAATTAAATTTTCTTATGATGTATAACTTGCCTCAAGTGAGAGTTGTATCACCCCTTAAGCCATCTTTTAACTTTACTCCCATTTAAAGGATATTCTCACTTGGCATTGGTGGCATATGCCTTTAATCCTAGTACTCAGGAGACAGAGGCAGGTGGATCTCTGTGAGTTTGAAAACAGCTTGGTCTACAGAGTTCCAAGACATCCAGGACTGTTATACAGAGAAAGCTTGTCTCAAAAACCAAGCAAACAAAGAAAGAAAAAGATCAAACAAACAAACAAAAGGATATTCCCTAGGTGGTACTGGTCTATTCCAGTGCAGACATTTCCAGGATTCAATGTCTGCCTAGAGCCAGCCACATTTGGGGATGAGAACTTATAATAGAAGGAATATTTTCCATTTCAAACACTTGACAAGTTACCCCATGACTTCTGAAAGTCAAACTGTTGCTTTTCTCTCTGTATTCTTCAGAAAATGGAAAGAAGTAGCACTGCCACCACCCCAGAGTTAAGTGGAAATATTTTCAGGTGAATCTTTTATCCCGAGTGCCTCACACTAAACTTCCTCTCCAATGTTCCTCTGTCCTTTTCAAGCATCTTAAAGACCAAAGCTCCTGTTGCAGTTAGGAGTTACAGAACTAGGGATTAAGAGATGAAGAAAATGTCCCAAGGCTAGCTATGGCAATTCTCCCATAGAGTTTATACCTTAAACCCCTCTGAAATGATTATACTGAATTATATATAATCTGTTGGTTTAACCTCAATTATAGTCAAACAAATAGCAATTTAAAAATCACCACTAAGGTATAGTAACTACCAACCTACAGAGTCCACAAGTATGTCCCAAAGAAAGAACACTGGACATAAATTAAATCTTAACTTGGTCAAATTAAGAGCATTTAAAGAGAAGTCAGCACCGGGCTGAGTTCCACCTTGAATGACTGTCCAGTGTATAGTGATGCTGAGCAATGCCACTCTATTCTCATCCACAGCTTTCTCAGAGGCTGTTATTCTCCAGACCAGAAAACAACAGCTTGCCTAGAAGTCCTACAGACACCTTCCTTCTGAATGCAGGATCCTGTTTCACCAGTCAACCTAGAGTTGTACAGAAGGTGACTAGGCCAACCCCGGAAGCTCACTGTGTAAACCATTTGTGAATCTTTCAAAAAGCACTGCTTTTTAATGACACCATGCCATTAGATGGCAAGGGGGTCATTATAATGGCTATTGAGGACAGCCTGCATATCCCAAAGGATGTCTTTATCTTGATAAATAAATAACTTTGGTGGAAACAAAAGATGATTTCTCTCTTTCAGAAGGCATCAGTCCCCGACATGATTGCAGAAAATTCAAGCAATACCACAGAATTTTCTCAAACAGAAGCACTTCTGAAATAGGGTCATTTGTGCTAGAGTAATAAAAGCCAGCCCTGGACAGCAGAGAATTTAGGAAAAAGTAGGTGTGATGGTGTCAAGGAAATACTTCCCAATACAGGTTTTTCAGAGGTTTTATAGGTGCCACTTAGACACTGCCTGATGGGTTGCCTCCTCTGTCCCCAAAGAGACCCATTGCACACTAAAGCCAAAGCCTTCTCACTGATTTTCAAAGTCACTAGGAGACTTGGCACTCACCCCAAGAGTCCCTAAGAAGCTGAGCAATCTATTACACAAGATTCCAAGAAACAAGCCTTGCTTCGACAACTGGAGGCTGTAGCCTAATCCATTATGCACAAATTAAGGTAGTGTTCCTTTTCAAAATGACACTTCAGAGACCTCCAGCCCTAAAAATCACCAACATATAAACCACCACACATAGATGGCGATTTTATTGACTGCAAGTGACAGAAACTGAAATAAAATCACTTTGAGCGGGAAGCAAATTTTTAGCTGCCAAAGCTGGCTTGGAGGCTGAGCCATGGGACCTGGGAACTGCTCAGCTGGTTCCTCTGTGGGTGTTGGCCCTGTCTATGGCAGGCATAGGCTAGGGACAGGTTCCAAGGCTGCCCAGGCTCACAGTCTGTATTCACCATCTGCTGTTTCAGCCTGGGCAGAGCAGCCTTCCCCTCTAGTCTGTAATGGAGTACAGTTTCCCTTTGGGGACCCCTCTCCTATTCTCTGTAGTTTTGTGGAACTGGCAGGCCAGGCATCTTGCTTACCTTGTGTAGAGGATGTCATATGTAGGTTAGCCAGTCACACTTGCTTTTCCTAGGACCTTGATTCTTGAGTTCAGTTGACATGGAGGGACAGAAAAACAGCAGAGCTAATTACTCTGGGAGTTGGCCCCTGGACACTGAGGATATTGCCTAATGGTTTTTGATACCTGTGTCTCAACTGCGGCACCCATGCTAGTTGCCATTATCAAAGCTTCTTCCAGT